TTGCCGCCAAACAAACTCTGCTCAACCGAGTCCACGTGCCCGGCATACCCGCTAAGCCCATGGGAGCCACCAACCACTGATAATTTATGTCGTTCGCACGAAACGCAGTATACGACCGAGTGCGTCGAGATACCCGCATTTGATGGTATCCACTCATGAGATCGAGGACGCTGAAGATCACCGCACCAACATTCGTCCGAACAACTCTTCAATATGAGGCAGCGGAATACGAGGCACTAGCGTTGCACTGTTCACGTATCTGTAAACGATGACCCAACAAATCACCTTGACGACGTACACGAATCCAGTCGATGCGGCGAAGAATTTGTCCGGTGTGAGGATTTTTTTCGGTACCGCGAAAATATTGGACACCCATGGCGAGTATGATTTCTCTATCCACTGCTTTTTCAGCAGCGAAGAAAAAAAATCATCCAGTGTGCGCTTCTCTACTTGAGAATGACGAGAAGGAGCGCGCATGCTGGGCTTGGCGTCTGTCTTCATTTGCATGTCATGCTGGATTAATCGTTCAGGAGGGAGCTCAGAAGGCAGCTCGTCGGGCATCACGTCCTTGAAATCGTGCAGTAGACGAGCGACAAATGTTGGAACATCATCGAGCTTGTGCGTCCGACGCATTTCAGCCCGATATATTTTTGCGTATGCACCTGCGCGCAACCCACCGACAAATTCCTTAACTTCAAGCGTATTACAGGAAAAAAGAGCGATATCTGGACGGGAATCAGCTGCATGCGTACCGGATTCGGCATCCAGGCCTCTGATCATGCCTCGGGACCTGTCGATGGAAGGGTTAGCCTGCTGGAGCCAAGGTTGGCCGAAGATTCCATCGTACGCTTGATCAATTGACCACTCAAAAAACGGAGCCTTGGTGAATTGACAGCGTTCCACCGACACGACCAGCTTACCCGTACACACCATGCGGGACTCAGACCTGCCGTCAAAGCCTCGCGCTATAATGTTCACCTTTTGCTCGATGGGAAACGGCACGACGATGCCGGGCTTGACGATGCAGTGCGACGCGCCCAAGTCCACCAGCATGCGCAACTTGTGTCCTTCAACAACAGCATCTCCAAATAACAGGGATGTCGAGCCTAGCGCTGCCTCGCTTGTACTGGCACAGAGGTTAACAGCCGAAACGTCGCTCACAGCATGCTCTGCTTCCACAAATATCGTTATAGGAGATTCAGAAATTGGTTCAGGCTCAGTGAACACCCAATTTACGTTCGCTGAGCGTAGTCGTTTCCCTGCTGTGGTTTCTTGGGGCAGTCGCGGATGCGATGTCCAGGTGCCTTGCAGTAGAAACACAATCGGTGCTGACGACAAGCCTCTTTAGAGATACGACGAGAACCCCATAAGGCTAATGTCCATCGGTTCAGGGGTAGTCGTGGCAGCCGTCCGGCCAGCTTGAACATGCGAGACACTGTTCCCGGTGAAGTGGGCCTTCATAGGACTGCGCGGGGGAGATCGCAGCACTCAGAGTCTGGCAGCGAAGATAGCTCACCGCATGGCGTGTTTCTTCTTTCAACCCCGCACAGAAGTGGCCGATCTGGTCGAGCTGGCTCATATCGCGGACTTGCGCGATAAGGCGGCGGAATTGCGACACTTAATCGTCAATTGTGCCGACTTGGCGACATTGTCGGAGGGCGGCTCGGACACGATACTGCTGATCTGGCGGGACAAATTCTTCAGTGAGGGCAGTTTGAAATGCCGCAATATTTTCCAGGGGCCTCTCCTCGATGACAACCCTGGTGTGGTACCACGACGCGAGCATTGCCACGACACGGGAGTTGTTGGCCTCACTGATGTAGTCCACATTCTTGCTTTGCCTGAGGAGCTTGGCGGCAAAGATGAATTCGTCCACACTCTCCTCGGGGAGACCAGAAAAAGTTGACACTCTAGTGCCCTCAACCTTGAGCTCAGGAGCGGGTCGATGAGCATGGAGCTGCTCAAACAACGACGACTGGAGCTGATGGTTTTGCTGCATCAGATGGTCAGCAAGCTGACCCATAGTGGCCGTCAAACCCTCCATGAGGGCTTGCGCCGGGACGAAATTGCTCTCCAGGATCCATGACAGATAGCGATTTCCAAAATCTCCTCAGAACGAAGCGGCAGAAGCGGAGCGGACAGTGAGACGACGAGACGGAGCGGAGCGTAGACGGACGAGCAGAAGCAGTGATGAGACAGAAGCGGGACCCGTGCTACCAGTTGTAATATCCGAGTGTGCCGGAAGCAGTGAAATGAACAATGACTGAATTAAGAGCTTAGAGAAAATGCAAAGGCTGCAAGTGCTTCCTGGAGCGGTAGCAACTACGGCGCACGCGCGTGTCTTGGACCAATTGTGGTCGATCCACGTGCCGTTGCCAAATCCATGGCAAGGCACGTGTCAACGTGCAATCGCAGAGCTTGTGAAGCGTGACAGATGTCACAATCGCAATTTATCGAACGTATTTTTGGTACACGGAGCGGAGGTACCAATAGCAAATGTGAGAACCACTGGAATACCACCCGTTTTATAATATCTAGTTGTTGAATTGATCGACGTTGAACACCGCTGAGCGGAAACCGAGCTCGTGACATTTCTGCATTAAAACTGGGTGCAGTGGCTTACCAGTTCTTAGCCCAAAGCTGCGGAGTGCACTCCAATTGAATTCTGATCTCAGTGCATTCGACATGACAGTAATTGGCCAAATGATTCTCCACCCACGTGATCACCGCGCCAGTTCTTGTCATAGCAAATTCGGCTCACAATATCCACGTCAGACTGTAAAAATGTACCAAAGCGCCATCATTGCAAAATATTGCGCCACTGTGGATCCGGCTTATGCCGCATGTTTTCGTCAAGTATGCCAACAGTGTTTACATGCTGATAAGCATTACCACCTCTCACTCGATCTCGATATACAGCTGTATCTTTGTGCAATATTTAAAATATCGAAGTGGGGAAGCTGCACATAATCGGGGTAGTGACAGAGATATTATCGGTCGATCGTGCTTTCTATTTATTTTTCCGTTTTTCTTTTCGTCATTAATGAAGTCTTATTCCTCACTTGCAATTTTATCACATTGTTATAAGTCTGAACAATATATATTGCATGTATTAATACAAATTACATACATCATGGTCTTGCGTTTTTCTACTTCCAATCACGTACATTGTGGCCCTGGATCGGAGAAAAAAATAATGTTTCTGGGCTTCTTCTCAATGTATACTGATACAACCCCATGGCAAAAGCATGGCTTGTAAGGTGGTAGTGTGGGTCCAAGGACCTACAGTTAAACAATGGCTATTCATTTGACCCAATTGATCCTCTGTGTCTTTAGGGGTACTTTATTTAATCCGCTATCGTACAAGCAACATCACCAGGGTGATTGGGTTTTGATGCGTCCCTAGCCGACACAAGCAGCATTCAAATTCTTTTTTCATCGTCATGCGGCTATAGATTATTAGAGTTTCAATAGGCTCATTTTCTATAGATCTAAGACTTCATTATTTACATCTGTAGTCTCTTCATCTAGTTTGAAAGTGAGTAGCGGAGCTTTTGGCTAAAAAGTCCTGGCGTCTCGCTGATATACCAGTTATACTTAAGTATCAAGTACTACAGTTCAGTTTGTCATAGTGTTGCGAATAAGCGTACAGAGGTTTTTTAGGCAGATTTGCATCTCTGTAATACTATGGAAATAAAATCCAGAGAATATCATATGATCTTTGGTTAACATTAGCCCCTGCGTACAGTACTGTAGCTGCGGAGCGCGGGCAGGGGTTAATTAAGTGATAATATCACCTGGTAGACCAGCTAATACACGGAATATTGCCGAATATTTTCTTTAAAGACGAAATGATATTATTAAAAACAAACTTAATATTATTAATAGTTACTACGATAATAAATTTCTCTAAGATTGCGTCATCGGCTCCAATCCACCAATAATATGTCGGTTAAGCTCGACTAGCTGAATTAAAACTAATCAACAGTGAGTCCGGGACACTTGTGAGAGTGACGGCAAGGTTGGTGTGGTGTGTTGGCACTGCAGAGCGCATTAATCTAGCTTCACAGGCTGCAGGTTGATGAGACGCACGATCTGGACGAGGCTATCGGCAGAGAACAAGAGCAATACCTTGATTTCGTTCTATCGACTTCAAACAACTGCAGCCGTTTGCAGTTTTCATTCTCGATCGGCTTTGTCTGTGTCACAGTGAAATACTAGAGCAACTACTTGTCAGTTTAAAAGCGTGCCATCATTACTGCTGTTTTAGAACCTGACCGAACGAGTTCTTTGGTGGGCCATCAGCAAGGTGACAAGAAGTGTGCGTAAGTGGGATGGAAATTAACGCTTGGAAAGAGTCAGACCGAGTCGAATACACTCGCTTTGGGAACCCACGTATGCCAAGTGTTGATACCGTTTGCGATTGGGGCCTCCGCGTGGCGAGACACGGATGAGGCAGCAATCATGTGGAGCATTGAAATAGCAGGCTTCTCGAGAGACCCCTCGTCGAGGTTTATATGCAAGCACGATGTGTATGGCGCAAAAATTCGTGAAAAGTGGTCGAAGGAACCGCATATGGACGAAGACGTCGATCTGTTAAATCTTTCAGAGTTAGATGATGTGTTAGACGATAGTAACCTGGTACACGAAACATTTCAGCAAGGAATAAAGTCCTCACCCGTTTAAAGTCCTCTCTTTCACGGCACTATTAAATATAGTCCGGACTCTAATAGGGCGCCTCCGTTCTTAATATTTAAGTTCAAAATAGCACTATTACTATTTTTTTCGTATGATCCTTAACTGTTAAGGGCTTCCCAGTACTGCATTAAACTAATAAAGTACTGGGAAACCCTTAATTCTACTTTAATAGTATTAAAATTACACACTGACCACTGATTGGCTGCACGTGGCTGGCTGGTGGAGGTACGTCATGATGTCAGCTTACTGGTTGTGAGCGGTCAGAACCGAACACGCCTAAGACTCGTCCGACCTCGTTCAACATGGCCGACGCCTCCCCCGTGACGAACCGCAAGCAGGTGGCCATCCTGGACTTCGGCTCGCAGTATAGCCACCTCATCGCGCGTCGTGTGCGTGAGTTGCATGTGTTCTGCGAGCTTTACTCGTGCCTGGTGAGTGCCGACGAGCTGCGTCAGCACCAGCTTACAGGTATTATCCTGTCAGGCGGCCCGCAGTCCGTCTTCGATGAGGGCGCGCCGCACGTACAACCGGAAGTGTGGCAACTTATCGAGGAGCAGAAGCTGCCTGTGCTGGGTATTTGCTACGGTCTCCAGGAGCTGGCCTTCACCAACAACGGAAAAGTGGCGCCGTCGCAGAACCGCGAGTACGGCAAGGCCTTTGTCACCCGCAAGAACGGCGTTGACTGCGGTGGTCTATTCGAGGGTCTTCCGGACGAGTTCCAGATGTGGATGAGCCACGGCGACAAGCTGCATCAGAACCCGGAAGGATTCGTGGACATTGCCACCACCGAAAACTCGGAACACGCTGCCATCGTCAACGTGGCGCGCAAGTTTTATGGTATTCAGTTCCACCCGGAGGTGACCCACAGCCCGCGCGGCAAGGACATTCTGCGCAACTTCGTGGTCAACATCTGTAACTCGCCCACGGATTGGGACATGCGGAGCATCGCTGACGCCTTTATTGAAGAGGTGCGCGAGACTGTCGGCCCTGAGGGACACGTCATTGGCGCCGTCAGTGGAGGCGTCGACTCCTCCGTCGCTGCCGTGCTGCTGCAGCGCGCTCTGGGTGACCGTTTCCACGCTGTGCTCATCGACAACGGCTTCTGCGCAAGGATGAAGCCACAGAGGTCGTCGACCGCCTTCAGTCGAAGTTGGGCATCAACCTGAAGTGTATCGACGCCTCAGACCGCTTTCTGGCTGCTCTGAAGGGTGTCAAGGAGCCTGAGTCGAAGCGTAAGACGATCGGCAACCTGTTTATTGAGCTGTTCCAGGAGGAGGCTGAGCGCATCGGCCACCCCGTGGACTTCCTGCTGCAGGGAACTCTATACCCGGACGTGATTGAGAGCATCTCGTACAAGGGCCCATCGGCCACAATCAAGACCCACCACAACGTCGGTGGCCTGCCGGAGAAGATGCACCTGAAGCTCATTGAGCCGCTTCGTGAGCTGTTCAAGGACGAGGTTCGAGAGCTCGGAATGGCTCTCGGCATCGACGAGCCCAGTGTGTGGCGTCACCCATTCCCGGGTCCTGGTCTTGCCATCCGTGTGCTCGGCGAGATAACGCCGGAGGCTTTGAAGACGCTGCGCCACGCCGACTCGATCTTCATTGAGGAGCTGCGCAACAGTGGCCACTACAAGACCACGGGCCAGGCCTTCTGCGTGCTCCTGCCGGTCAAGTCTGTGGGTGTCATGGGTGACGGCCGCACGTACGAGAAGGTAGTTGCTATCCGTGCTGTCAGCACTTCGGACTAC